TAATATATATGATAATAATAGATACATAGCGAAAAACGGATCTCACAAGCCAAGCATTAAAGCAATTAATAACTATACTATTGTCATGATGTAAGAATATAAGTTGCAAGATGCAAGAGACATAGAGTTTTCTAGTTTTCGGTGCTATACAAAGCTGCATAATAGAACTGTGGCTAGAAGCTATACAAAAAAAACAATTAAAGGAAAAGCAAAAATTTGAAAATTGGAAAAGCATATACATATAAGAGCAATATTGCAAGCGGAGCGATAAGCATAAAATAATATTATAGGAAGCACTAAGATGTCTTAAAAGGTTCATTCTTACTTGTAGCACTAACAGCCTCCCGGCCAAAAACCCGCACGAGATCAGATTCCACCCGTATACGTAGTCGCGGAGCCTCCCTGCCTTGAAATTGACGTACAAATATGCGGCCATCCTTCGTCCAGACGTATCGCCAGTTTAACCTACCACATAATTCCCGCGTCCGTCGGAAGAGATGCCTGTTCACCTTCGTCAATCTTTCATTAACGTAAAAGCGGCGTGGTGTCGTTAGTCCACCACGATACTTCGCTCGAATTTTAGTATCGGTCCCAGAAGATTTCTTATCTCAAACTAGAATATCTATAAACTAGCTAATTCACGCGACTTCGCTCGTGTAAACTGTAGCCTATGTCAACTGCGTATGGTGTAGCTACCCGTATGTGAAAGAGTTTTTAAAATCGGTTCAGTAATCTTAATAAAAATGTTTAAAAAACCACTTTGTCCCTGGTAGTTTGAGATTGATCAAATATAATAATCGGTCCAGTGGTTTCGGAGCCTATTCGGTGTTAAAAATAAACAATAAAACCTTTAATTTTTATAATATTAAGTAAAGATAAATAAACATTCAACATCACATACATGGCTCATATTGTAAGATGTATATTTTGGAGTACTAAACCCCGTATTTTGGAGTATCTGTGACAACAAAGGTACCATAATACTCAGAACTCCCAGACCCCAGACAATAAAGGAAAGTTAATTTTCAACATTTTTGGTTTTTTTATAATAAATATTAGTGTAATTCATTACACCTGCAGACCTATTTTAATCTATTCTATTTTAATCTGCCGATGTACGCTGTTGAGTGTGTGTGATTTATTAAGAGCTATGACTTATAAGAAAAATCAATTAATAATTATAATGAAAATAATTATCAATTACTAAACCAATATTAAATAAAGTTACTTACAGGTTGGGTGAAATCAAAGAGGGTTCTAAAATAAAAAGCATTTTACTTCGTTTCCACAAAAATTTTACAAATAATTAGATATATCACATGTATTAATCACATATTGAAAATAGCAATTATGCTACTTATAAGTTAAAATAAACTTACTCGATCAAAAAGGAAATAAATTGTCTACTTAACTGCAGCAAGTACACCAGAGTAATTAATCTAAATAAGTATTCGCTTAATAGAATTAATACTATATAGCGTTAAATATATTTAAAAGCCATTAAACAAAATTTGAATACTAAATACATACTATTATAAATTAAAATTGGCTTTTAATTGGTTATCCAATCACAAATTAGAGCACAATTTACTTTGTTACAGTGAATTCTAATCACCCAAAAGATTTTAAAAAATATGAAAATGAATATTAATATACAGTAAAATGATACATAATTATTATATTTTAATACAAAATAAAAAAAAAACATATTTTAGTGAGCTTACAATGCTCTTAAATCATAGACAAGAATTCTTAAAAAACATAATAACAAATATTATTTCACAATATATTTTCTAGCATTTCTTTATTATAAAGATACAAACAAATCATAATCAGTGTATTTCTAAAAGAATAGCACAGATAATATTTGAAGATTAGATTATGGCACAAATAAGTTATGATATTTATGAAGAATATGATCTGTGGTTCTGTCTACACAGCACTATATAATAACCGATTTGCGACTAAATTATGAACATCTCATATTTTTATACAACAATTATGGCATGGTAAATAAAAATTACTTAACAAGTGCAAAAAAACTATAACTCCACGAACAAATCAAATATTTAAACTGACATAGTATTTAAAATTTCCTAGCAAGTATAGAGATATAGGATTAATTTTTAATGAAGGCAATTCTTATTTAATAATAACATTAAAAGTTTAAAACTTAGACTATCAGTATCTAGTATAAATTATGTATATTTTATTTTTCAAAAAGTCCAGTTTAGATTCTCAATCTAAAAAGGTTTTACATGGTTAATTAATATTGTATGAAACCAACAAAATAATACTAACATACAATATCTTATAGTTTCAGACTTTTCTATACTTACCATTCTTATTGTTACATTGTGTATATCCCTTTGAGGAAGGTATTATAAAAGTGGATTTATTAAGAAACAAAAATACCTCACTTGTATAATAAGTATTTAACTATTATATCTATTTAATAAAATCCTTATTATGTACTCAATGTTGTTTGTCTTCCTACATTTAAAAATAAATGTTTTTCAAAATGCATTGAACACACCCTGGCATGTCTTGAAGGCTTACAATTTGGTCTTCCGCAAGCTTCAATCCAATTTTGAAGTTCAGTTTCATTTATCAATCAATTTTGAAGTTCATGTTCATGTGATGAAAATCTAAAATATAAACACAATTACTAAAACACTTTTTTTTAATATCAATTTTTAATTTGGAAAATTGAGGTCATCATTATGATAATAATATGATTGTCATATGGAATAACAATATTTTATGAAGAAAAAACACATTTGGCCGAGATTTATTGATAAAATTAGTTATATTATCTACTATAAACTCAAACATTTCTAACCAAATACATAGCACAATTTTTAGTGATTCTAAATACAGAAATGATATTCAATTAAGTCTAGAAAATGTAATTTAACATTACATTACAGTAAATTAAGCGGTATTTTAATAGTATCATGCAAAACTTTACTGAGAGGCTTTAAATGCTAATATTTTAGGTTACAAACTTGGATTTATTTTAATACAAAGTTTAAAAACTGCCCAATTGTTTTTTTAAATCGCATTTTGTAGTTCTATGTACTTTGAAAATAGTTGAGTTTCAAACATTTTGATATTTGTTTAACAGAATATTGATAATTTAATTTTAAAGCACTTTGAGGGGAGATTTTAAGCACTTAGATGTCAGCCTTAATGATTTGAGGTTATATTCTTATTCGACTTATTTAATAATATATTTAGCTTGTTTTGTGTCGTATTTAATAAAATTCACATCGGTTATGCCATTGAAAAATTTTACCTTACGAAGAAATAAACAAAATTCTTCTAACTTACCTGAAATATGATAGACCTACAATATTTCTTTCGGATCTATTTTTGCAAGATATAACACTGCACTTAACCATTATTTTAATTTGCAAGTAACGTTTCTTACATATAAACTTTATACATTATATAAAACATTGTTTAAATACACTTCTTTCCAACTTTTTTTGTATATATTTGAGTCCAACAATTTCTATGCCTAAAATCTTGACGTTTTGGTGCCAAACAAGCCTGGTGCCAAACAAAAAAACCGGCACGTCGATAAGGACAACAAATAATGTTTTTGTCTCACTTTAACTAATGAAAATTGTAATAAGTCATTTCATTTCCCGATGAATGAGATAGAACATACCATTAGTCTATTGCTTTCTCTGTCTACGAAACTAATGAACCAAAGACAGTCATTTCCGTTTCTTTTATCTAACATATTAAAAAATGGAAATTTGAAAAGTTCGAAACTTATATATCAATAAAAATACGAAGAAGTACAAACAGAATATGAGTTATTATTGAGTTTTGAATATTAATTTAAACATGAAAGAAAACCGGAAGGGTTGTCATAGAGAAATCATGAACGTACACTAAAAAGGCCCTTCACTAGATGGCGACTCTAGCAAAAGTCGATTATTGCAGGAAACGAATGGATCAAAGATAGTCATTTCCGTTCCTTTTAACTAACATATTAAAAAACTAAAATTTGTAAAGTTCGAAACTAAGATACCAATACAAATACGAAAAAGTACAAATAGAATATGAGTTGTTTATTGAGTTTTGAATATTAATTTACTTTCAAACGTGAAAGAAAATCAAAAGAGTTGTCATGGAGAAATCAAGAACGTACCATAGCGACATCTAGTTTGATTTCTGGAACATTTTTATGAATACTCCCTCGTTATAAAAAACATATTTTTTTTATTTACTACGCAACGTTCCAAAAACAGTTTCGTCCTCCATCCTTTTTTCTTAAAAAGAGTATGACTTGTAATATTTGCACGTCGTCCTAACGACAAAATATTCTGGGCATTTAAAAATTGTTTGTAACGTGTGAGTAGCTCGGTGGCGATGGCGTAGTGGATAAGCGCCGCGGCCCGCGATCGTAATCGTTAAGCAACTTTTGCAAGGGTTGCAAGGTTTGCAAGAATTGTATTGAGTTTTTTTCCAATAGTCTTGTTATTGGAGTTCATCATCTTTGAAAAAGAAAAGTGATTTTATTAAACAAAAAAAATCATGCACGCACGACATACAAACAACTCAATATCTAATATTATAATCGATAATCAAATAAAAATCGGTTATCTGTTATCGAATTTGTATGTGAGCGTTACTATTTAAGGTCCGATAACATGTGTCAAAGGGATCTCTTTTGTAAAGACTATTCGTATTATCACTGCCCTCTTTGATGAAGACCTGTGGTGAAGACTATAAACGTGCAATATTATAAATAGTTTGTGTTTATGGTCGCAGGTTAATGCAATCAAGAAGTTTATTTAATTTAATTAATGATTAATAAACTAAGTATAACAATATGAATAATAAAAATAGTTGAGCACTTACCTAGTTTTACATACTCTTTTTACTGAATGATATAATCTTGTATCAATTTTGCTTACCAGTGATATTTCCTTCGATAGTGTGAGATTAAAAAACAATAAAAACTATATTGTTAACAAATCACCATGGTAAAGTTTCGAAATGCCGCTGCTGCTTTTAAGGCTCTAAACGGATTGATTTGCGTTTATAAACCAGCTTGTGTTCCAATTCAGCAAATACAACATACTATTTTAACCAATTTGTGCCGTGGTAAGAAAAAAACATGGTACAAGCAGTACTTAGGTATAGACTTGACTGTTTCACATGTGTGTTCATTTCAGATCTCAATGTTTTACCAGATCGTCCACATGAAAAGAGGGTGGAGATTGTAGGTCCCACAAATGCCCCTATGACTGTAAAATTAGTACCAAACTATGCAGATAACCCTTTAGTCTGTGGGCCTCGATATATTAAAGAAGACTTCCGCTGCAGTTGGGCAACACACTTAGGGTTATTTACTAGTGGAGTTTTATGTTAGTATAAACAGATATTCAAAGATACCAGATCAATTAAAAAAATCATATGTTTACTAAGTACAATAATGATTTATTTCAGTACTGGGAATAAATCAGGGTACTAAACTTACTTATCTAATCAACACAGCAAGATTAACTAGGGCTTATAAAATACATGGACAACTTGGTAAAGCAACAGATACATACTTCTGGAATGGAAAAACTGTAGAGAAATCTACATATGGCCATGTTACAAGGGAAAAAATTGATAAAGTGGTAGCACACATGCAAGCGGCACATCAGAAAACTATGTTTGAGTATGTGATAATGATACTAAAAAGATAAAATATTTTCAACATTGAAGATTTATAGAATGTTTCAAGTGTGCCATAATTTCAGAATGTCTGGAGTGCACATGGAGTCTCAAACTATGTTTGATTTAGCTGCTCAAGGTTTGATCCGACCAGCCAACAATAATTTACCTGTGATATATGGCATTAAGTGCGTTTATTTTAACTCTCCTAATATTACATTAGGTAAGAAAAGTATATTAACTGTTGATGTTAGATAAATTTCTCACAGTTAATTATTAATTTTCAAAAAAACATTTTTTACAGAAATACAAGCTATAAATGAATATGATAAGTACTTATGGACTATTATTCATGATCTTGGAGTCCAATTAAAAACTTCAGCTCATTGCACAGGGGTCCAGTGCATACGCCAAGGAAAATTTGATCTGGATATAGCATTATTACGTAAACACTGGCAGTTAGAATATATTATTGACAATATGGACCAATGCAGAAGACTCATGGAAGAACATAGTTTAATATTGCAACCAAAATCGGCAATATTGTCTGTGTAGAAATATTGGGTTATAATGAAAATTTCACACAGTTGTTTTATTTGATTAATTTTATTAAACTTCCTAATGATCCTAATCATGTTGTGGAAGATGGAGTTGAAGTGTTTGCTTGTTTTTCCATTTGTTCTATTCTTTTGTGTCTGATCATATTTGATAAAATGCCATCAAATGATGTGGTTTTCTTTTTGGCAGACCCTCTTAATGTGTCTTCACCCTCACGACGAACACGCAGTCGTAGTGAGCTTACTTCGTCCATGAAGTCGAAGTCCGATTTTTCTTCCCTTATTGGAGAAATTGGCAATTCTGGTTGGTTTTCCTTGCTTATCGGTATTGGAGACGGAGCACGCCTTCCAGGACATTTCCACTCGAGATTCAAAGTTCCACTTTTCTCGATGCTTTTATAAAGCTCTTCCAATTCATTTGGGTCGGGAATCCAACTTTTACCAATGAAAATGCCAGTTTTCGAAAGTTCATCGTCTGAACAAGGTAATGACCAATCGTCGCCTATTAAATCTGCAGACCCCATTCCAGTGAATGAAAATTAATTTCTTTGTCAAACCTTAAATTATCAAGTTGTTTTTATAGGCTCTTTTGTTTATCATTTTTCTTTTTTTATCTCCAAACCAACTAGAGGTGAGGTGTATTTTCTAGAACATTTATCTACTAGGTATTTTACAATACTAGTTTATCATTTTCCAAATAGTATATCCACCTAGTATTTCTATAAGTTACACGATTTTCCACGCTAACGTAAAAAGAGCTCACTTATTATTTATCACAATTTTCGACTTTATTTATGACCACAGACCCAGATTTCATAATAAGCTACAAAAATGATGTTTATGGCTGTAATATATTGACTAGTTATAAATCTACTAATCTAATTTTACCAATTATAACGTGATACTAATACTAGGTGAGGTGACTGAGTGACCTCTTTAAACCTTTTAAATCTTCACAATACTACCTAGAAATCTGTCAAAATCCATCTCAAAAATACAGTGTTGTCAACTGCTACCGAAGGCCTGTTGCTAGGAATTTTACATAAGTTGCTAGATTGAGTAATTATTTCGACTTGAAAAGTAGCTAGAAAAAGCTAAATTTTCCGTGAAATTAAATACCATTTTAACTGATTACTAGAAATCATACGGCGAAGTTTTTTAAAGGCTTTAATATTTATTGCATTTAAAATACAAATAACAAAATAAAACACAAATCATCTTATTAATATTATTTCTAAAAGCAGTGTTATTTCTATAATAGTATGTACTTAATACTATATTTATATTATATAACTACTCAATTGACTATTTAAAAAAGAATCACAATACTCAATTAAATACTAGAGGAAGATGTAGAAGGTTGTGAACTCTGGGAAGGTAATGATAAATCTGGTGCAGCTGAATTAGCATTAATTGATTTTGAATATTTTTCAACAGTACCCATTTTTTCAAGTAAGGACTTAGAAAGAACGTAGTTGTGACAGCATTGGCCACTTTTCCTGACTGTCTCTAGAGTTTGGCAAGCGAAACGTGACACCACCTATTTTTCCGTTTTCATATGGCAACAACATAGAACTGTCAGTTTGACACTACGTTAGACAATTCAAGAATATTGAATTTTGTTGTTTTTGCGAATTTGAACTTGTGTTTTTGGTTAAAAATTATGTCGAAGCCGATAAAAAGTTCATCGAGGAAACTTCTTTCCATCATGATTGACAAGTTTACTGAAGTGAAAACTGAATTAAATAAAAATTTCATGGAGAAATTACAACGATTAGATAAAGTTGTATCTTTTTTAGGTTAGTTTTGTATTATAATTTTGATACTTTCGTTTTAATTTTCTGTAATTAACTAAACAGATATTTTTTATAAAATATTGCTCTATTTCAGATAACTGTGATGGTGATATTCAACCAATAATGGAGGAGATAAATGCAATAAAAACTTTAGAAAAACAAGAAATGCTGAATTCGGAAACGCAGTACTTACAAAAAATTTCTTCAATGACAGGTCTCTTTTCTTGTTTTGATTTAAGATAGATTGATAGTATTCCTATAATATTTACATAGGTTTTTTATGATGTATTGGTTTTTATTGTTGACATCCAATGATGTCATAAGAATGTTTTGTTTAACAAGGAAATTCACAGAATTCATGAAACTAATCAAACCATGTAATTGTTATACATGCTAAATATGCACATAAACTTAACTAAATTAAACATAAATTGCATTCATAGTTGAATAGGTATTTAAATTATTTTGATGTATGTGTCTATCATTATTTGCTTTTAAATACATTTAACATATCTTTGTTTCAAAGTGTTTAATCTTTTATAGATGTAAGTATAAGGACACTAAGAAGGATAAAAAATGAAGCATTAATTAATAAAGGAAAATGGGACACTCCTGGGAAAAAACGACCTCATCAACCAACAGTGTCTGCTTTAGATAATTTTGATTTAAGTGCAATTCGGAATAAAGTAAATGAATTTTACTGTGTGAAAAAAATTGTTCCAACATTAAGAAGCCTTCACAATGAATTAAAAGATGCAATAGGATTCAGTGGTAGCCGTGAGACTTTACGAAAAATTATGCTTAAGAATGGATTTTCTTTTAAAAGCAATGAAAATGAACGTTCTATGCTTATAGAAAAATACCAGATTTCTGCATGGAGGCACAAGTATTTGAGAGAAATAAATATAAAACGAAACGAAGGAAAGCAAATTGTGTACCTTGATGAAACTTATGTACATCAGAATTATAAAGTTAAAAAGTCTTGGCAAGGACCTTCAACAACTGGTGTCACTACAAAGATATCCTCTGGAAAACGGCATATTGTTGTGCATGCTGGATCTGAGGAAGGTTTTGTGCCTGGTGCATTATTAGTGTTCAGTAGTAAATCCAAATCTGCTGATTATCATGATGATATGAACTCATCGAACTTTATGAAATGGGTCAGAGAAAAATTAATACCAAATTTAAGTAAGCCCAGTGTAATTGTTATGGATAATGCCAGCTACCATATAAAACAAATCAATAAACCGCCTATAATGTCTAATACCAAAGCAGATATCCGTAAATGGCTTGTAAATAATGGAATACATTTTGAGGAATATCAGACAAAGGCAGAGTTAATGTGTTTGGTTAATGATAAGAAAACATTGCCTGTATATGAAGCTGAAGAGATTTTAAAAGAACATAATCATGAACTTTTATTGCTGCCACCGTATCATTGTGACTTAAACCCAATAGAGATGGTTTGGAGTCAAGCAAAAAGAAAAATTGCAAGCAGAAACATTGGAATACCAGGAAAGGAAATGGAAAACTTAATAATAGAGTGTTTTAACTTAATTACCCCTAGTGACTGGAAGAAATACACTGATCATGTTTTAAATGTCGAAAATGATTACAAATTAAAAGATGGCATTGTTGAAAACGAACTTGAAAAATTTATTATATCTGTTGGTGCAGACAGTAGTGAAGAGAGTGACTCTGATGATTCCTTGTCATTGTTATCAGGTGTAGAATATTTAGAAACAGATTTTGACTATGAATCAGACTAAAGTATTTTTAGTCTGATTCATAGTCAAAATCTTATCTTAAATTTTCTATTGTGATTAACATGATGATTTTGTGACACCTGTATTATGTAATTTATCCATGGCACTTAATTGTAACAAAAATAAATGTTTTTTTTATTGTAATCTGGTGTTTATATTGACTAATTTAATTTGATAGATAGTGGTTCTGGATCAGAGCAAAAGGTTGTGATGAAAATCCCTTAGGAGACATGTATGTGTTATGAACACATTATAAATATAAGGGCCAGAAATCAAAATTGGCTAACATCACATTTATTAAAAAAATGTGGCCAGAGTCGCCCATATTCATTACAAAAAAACAAAGAAGTCGTTGCAAAAAACACCCTTTTAATTAATGACAAATATGAATTTTTAATATTATAAGTGCTGTTAGCCAATAGGTATAACGAATGGGTTAAAAAAAAGATTCGATTTAGTCCGTCAGTCAGATAATAGAAAAATATTGGATACGTATTTTTTTTCGCTTTAATTTAACAACAAATGGCTTAAGAGGTACTATGCGACGACTTCAAATATGCTTTGCAACAATGTTACTTTAATACAGTTTATCGATACGAAATCAAGTGTCAAAATGGAGTCCAGTGGAGAATGCCGATATTGACATTTCGAAATTGCTCATCATTGATAGAGAATACGAAATAGTGATTTTGACACAATCAAAGTGTCTATTTTTTACGGTGATGACGATTCTTGGTTGTCAGTTGAGTTAGTGAATAGGCCTACTGATATGCTGTTAACTGTACAATTAAGAACAGTCACGCTTTAGTCAAATGTTCCAAAACAAATAATTTTAATTGATATCTAAATGTTAAGATTAAATATAATTAATAAAAGTATCAAAATTATTTTGCAGTACTACATTCAGTGTTTACTGCTTAAGAATTTTTGAAATTGCCGCCCTTTTCTTGTGACACGTTTCGCTTGCCAGACTCTATCACCCCACTGGTAATATCTGATGAGTGAAATAAAGAGAATGTGTTTTAATGCAAAGACAATATTACAACCTTTAACGGTTTTACACTTTTATCTTTATTTAATAAACAATTTACTTATCTGTTAAGACAAAGAACAACATTTAAAGTCTTTATTACAGGTATTTCTTTTATTGCTATTTACATTTTTCTTCTTCTTTTCCTTCCTTCCTTAATATGAACCGTTAAGAAAATTAATGACACTATGGTTTTTTTTTTTACAAAACATAAATGCGCGAGTATATTTCGTGACTTATCTAAAGCGTTTGATTGTCTTCGTTATGATAAACTTTAAACTTATGATAAACTTATATATTATGGTTTGGAAGATCAAGAGTTAAATATGATGAAATATTATTTTTCCAAAAGAAAGCAAATGGTTGTGGTAAATAGGTGTAACTTCAAATTTAAAAGACATTGAAATGGGGGTGCCACAAGGCTCGATTTTAGGGCCAGTACTATTTTTAATTTACATGAATTACTTAATAAATTCGGTCCCTGTGTCCTTCATTCCGAGATAAGTATCATCAGCAAATGCATTCACCAACGGAAATGATTGTCTTTGGTCCATTCGTTTCCTGCAAAAATCAACTTTTGCGACAGTCGCCATCTAGCGGAGGTGCTTTTTTAGTGCTTTTTTTTTTAAATACTTCCTCATTGAATTTGTAATATTGTCATTTAATTGACTATGTGATATAATTGATTATTAATAATTGTAAAAATAACCAACTTGACATTGGAAAGATACTTAATTTCTTTGACATTTCTACATTTGACTTGCATGATTTAGACTTTCGTATTTAATTTAGAAGGGAAGCTTCCCTTCTTCTTTGTGTACAAATTCTGTACCATTGGTTAGTGCGGTTGATCTACGATTGCCAAGATTAAGCGCGGTTCGCAAAGGCCAGTAATGAGATAGGAGATCAATTTTCTTGCGAGATAAGGCGGGGTGATGCAAGGTGGAGTGGGATGTGGCGGATTTTTACTCTCTTTTCTTATCTTGTGCTTGGTAAGGTGTATAAAATTGGTCACCCATCCAATTCGCAGATCAAACGCGCTTTCTACTCGGCATTCCTCGTTAGGCACATGTAGAGATCCTAATGCGAATTGGTGGCGCTAAAGCACATTTGAATACTCATCCTATTACCGATCATTGTAATCGTCACTTAACTTCCGCAATCGCAGATCAAACACTCTAACCACAACACCATCGAGCTTTTTAGTTATTTATAGCAAGGATAATGTGTTATTTTTTGTCAAATTGTATATATTTTTATGATTTGATAACATTAGTATATAAGTGATAGTATTGTACGAGACATAGGAGATTGCGCAAAAGTAGATAGAGCCTGCCCAGCCTTCATCACAGATTATTAGTACGTACATGCAATTTGATGTAGAGGAGATACCGATATTGAAAGATTGTGCAACCTCATGAGTAAACAAACACACGTCACGGTTCTCTAGACATATATAATTATTACATGGGCGCGCGATTCATACGTTATCGGTTATCGATATCGAATAAAAACCTATAATAGTAAAAAAACTGAACCATAATATAAAAGTCTCACTTAAATAAAATGTTATTGACGCCTTATTAGAAAGGGACAAATAGCCTCTGTGCTTGCTGTGATATCTCGTTTTTCAATTGGCAGTACTCAGTCCTGTTATAAATACTATGTATTATCTATGGTTTAATAAAAAAAACAAATGTCATGGTGATTTTTGATGTTATGTTTTAGAATTCGGGTGTTTTATTTTGCATTACATATTTATTTTTCAAAATGTCAGCTTCTGACTCAGAATCGGAATGTGGTATAAAAATTTCTAGGTAAATAGAAATAAGTGACATATGCGTTATTGATTAGTTCTAACATCCTAATATATACTATTCTTTATCACTACAGGCTTGGCAATTGTGAAGTTTGTGGATCTTCAAGAGCCATATATACATGTCCCAAATGTGAAGTAAAGACATGTTGTCTATCGTGCGTTAGAATACACAAAAAAGAACTCGAATGCGATGGTATTAGAGACAGAACGAAGTTTATTAGAGTCAAAGACTTCACAGATTCAGATCTACTGAGCGACTATAGACTGTTGGAAGAATGTGCTAGATTTGTATACGGCGTAAAAAATGATACGAAGAAGAAATATACCAGAATCGACAAGGATCTGCCCATAGTATGTACCGTTACAGTAATATACAACTAATTTGACTCACTAATGTATTTTTCTTCTAATTCCGTAGCAGGGCAAATTTCAGCCATTAAAATGATTGGCACTTGCTATCTGTGGGTGAGACAAACACTTAAAGGTGTCAAAGAAACACCTTGTGTCTATTGAGTTGAGACATTATTTTATTTGTACATTTTGTCATAATTTAGAGTTGGTAGGTCTATACTGTGCAAATGAAGATGCATCATGAGCCATATTATTTGGATGTTATTGTACTTATATGAACAATTTTATTTTTAATACATCACGTATTCATGAATTTCTTTTTTTACAGCACTTATATAAACTGAAATTAGCAGCACGGCAAAGAGGCATTGTTCTACAATTCCTAGCTCAAAACTTTTCTAGGCATAATGTAAACACAACCCGTTATAACTTTAAAACCAATAATATACATTGGAGAGTAGAGTGGGTATTTCCTAATGTGGAATTTGGTCCACTAAAGTTTGCAGATGAGAAATGTTCAGAAGGGAAAAAGCTTTCAGAATTGTTAGATAAATACCTGAATCCTGATGCTGCATTTTTTGAGGGATCTAAAGCTCTAATATATTATAAATCTGTTGGTTTTAGAGGAGTGAAAATATTACTCAAAGGTATTAAACATGTGACTTCTATTTAGACATGTATTTATCTCCGACACAATATTGAACAAGCTTAATTTATTTTCAGCTGAAAAAGTTAAAGGATCGGCCCATAAATTCTTTGAACTAGATCCTGCAGATACATTAACTGAAAACTTGTCTGGAAAATGTATTGTGGAGTTTCCTATTATTTTTGTTGTACTCAAAGATCATGCCTATAGTTTTGAAATAATTACACCAGGTAATTACCTATTTTCAAGTGTGCATTTGCTTTTTTAACTGATTATAATATAGTAATGACTATTATTTTTTTTATTACAGAAGATGAGTTTGATTATTCTGAATCTAAAAGTAAAGATGGTGATAAAAAATTTGTAGAAACTCACACAGACAATAAACTAAATCAAGAACATAATAGTTCCAACAGTAAATGGAATGTTGAAGTGGTAAGCAACATAGATACTGCACCACCTAGTAAGAGGCCAAGACAATTGCTGACTCATAAGATTGCGGAAGAAAAAAAAATTGCTATTGAAAAAGAAATTAAAGCAGAGAAAAAGAAAAGACCGAAAAACCTTCTGTTTACTACAGGGTATTCATCAGAAGAGAGTTTAAGTGAAAGTGACACTGAAGAAAATCATACATAACATTTAAGTCCCTTTATATATTGTGTATTTTTATAAAATTTGTATTGCAATTAATGAATTTTCTGTTAATAAAAACAAGTATTCATTTGTAGCATTAATGCCAATAATTTCTCCATACTTGTCAAAATTAAACACATGTTGTTGACCAACTTTTACATTTTGCATAACTCCAGCAGTTTTCTTTCTAAGCTGGCAGTCTGGGTTTATAGAACTTTGATAAATAAACAGATGCTTTGTTGCTTCACACACTACACTGTATGAGAAATTAGGTGGACATGTAATAAATTTTCGATTTTGTTTTGATGATTGCACATATCCAAAAGCCATCAAGGTACCTTGGTGTTTTAAAGGCCATGTATCTGAATTTATTAATTTTGCATATGGCTGCCAGATGCAAGCGTCTACATCATGACGTAGACCTATTGCAGGCACCTCGTGGATGTCCAATTTTAAACTGAACAAGTATTGGTGCACACTTAGCGGCACTCTGTGTGTTACACAGTGAGTTGTTGTGTCGAGTCTCACTGAAATAAATTTGAAAAACTATTAAACACTTCTTATTTTAAAATTGATACAATTAGATATTCCTTAAAAAACCCACAATTACCTAGTACTGTATCTTCTTCTGATGCTGCATCACATTCTTCTAGCTCTTGTGTAGAGAAGCCAGGCACAGACTGATCTGATGACACTTCTGTTTCTGAACACAGATGTGAGAGTCTCCAATGAACTTCTTCCACAAGACTCGCATCCATTATTTGCTCACCATTATTATCACCACCTTCTAAAAATTCATCCCAAAGACTACTTTCTGATTTTGTCAAGAGTATGTCTACTTGCCCATTATCTTGAATATTCCATGTTGTTAGTTCACTATCAATTTTATGCTTGAGTTTACCATCTATAAAAGTATTACCTCCATAACTTACTTTAATATGGAGTGGCATAACATTGACATGCATGAGATTTTTGTTACATCCTGAATCCAGTTTTAAAGTGATTGAAATATCCTCCGATGTCTGCATCCAAGTGTAAATTAGTTTTTGTGGCACTTTTGTCAGTGTTTCTATTATTTCATTTTCAGAATCATATGTGAATTTAAAGATATTGTCTGATGCAATATATGCTGCTTCACAGCTGCTTTCAATTGCTGCATAGTGAACAATCCCTTTGCCTTCCATTTGTTTTATACTTATTTGTTTCCAAGAATTGTTATCATTTTCAAAAGTAACCAAGGATAGAACTGAATTGAAATGCGTTTCCTTCTGTTCTACAGACTGAATTAAGCAATGAAGTATTTCTTTATTACTTTTCTCTTGTATTCTAGAATCAATAATAATGAAGAATTTACTTTCCCCAAGTACCAATGTTGAGTGCTGCGTTTGCCATAATCTGTTTCTGCAATTTCTTACACCTGTATCAACAATATGAAGATAACCAGTACCATCACTTACAACAGCTACACTTTGGGAAGGGAATGAAAGACAAAGATCAAAATGGCCTGATTTCCTTTCAACATAAGCTGGTACATCATACACAACATTGTTTTCAAATGAATTAGTAGTATTCTCAAATGAAATTTGCCGTACTTGTTGCTTTTTGTCTATATAATAGAAGTTATAAGAGTAGTCCCAGTAGTCCATGACCAAGTGATTATGCAGTGCAAACAGTTTCGCATGGATAAAGGAGAATTGCACCTCATCAGGAAATAAACGATCAACCGGTGAGACAAGATCAAACTTAAAGTGAGGAAGAGCTTGGAGATTTAACTTGTACCCTTCAAAATCATGGTCCAAAAGACGCCGATTGGGTCGCAAATCAACTAAACTTGATGGCATATTATCTGCAAATCGCTAACAATGAAATAGATATGGTTCAATAATAAAGTACTTTGTGATATGGTTTCAATTTATACTTCTATAAAGCGGACAATAGACATGGGACCAATATATCAAAACGTATCTTATATCGGCTAACGGTTAGATATCATATCGTATCGATATCAGATTTTGCGTAACCGTTCTTAGGAAAACTATATTATCAAATAAAAACTCAAAATGCGTAGCAAAACGGTATTTCGAAAAACTGTAATGAACTAAACAACGAAACGAAACTCATATCGGCGCAACTACTTGTATTCATATCCGAACGTAACAGCGTTCAATTGATATTCACTTTTTCTCTTTCTTAGTCGATACCTTTACATTAGAGTAAAAGAGATGACGCGGTTATTCAGATAGTGTAATGTGTGAATATGCGATTTCTGACCATAATTGCTAGCAATAAGAGTCAATATATCTTGTATTCTTATGTTTGGAAGATATTTCGCGGGGTTATTACTATTCGCAAGGGTTACACATTGCAAAGAGGAATTAAGCTCGATTTTTAAATGCGCCAGAAAAGCTTCTTTAAGCGAAAATAGAATTAATAACTTCCAAAACTCCTCATTCAATATTTTTATTCGAGTAATATTGTATTATTTTAAATAGTTTATGGTTAAACAAAGCTTTTCTGATAGTCCTAAGCCTAGCAAAGCATGAAGGGAAATCGCCACATAATAAGTCATTGCAAACTCTCAGATATTTAGTTTACATTAGACATGGGACCAATATATCAAAACGTATCTTATATCGGCTAACGGTTAGATATCATATCGTATCGATATCAGATTTTGCGTAACCGTTCTTAGGAAAACTATATTATCAAATAAAAACTTAAAATGCGTAGCAAAACGGTATATCGAAAAACTGTAATGAACTAAACAACGAAACGAAACTCATATCGGCGCAACTACTCGTATTCATAACCGAACGTAACAGCGTTCAATTGATATTCACTTTTTCTCTTTCTTAGTCGATACCCTTATATTAGAGTAAAAGAGATGACGCGGTTATTCAGATAGTGTTATGTGTAAATAGGCGATTTCCGACCATAATTGCTAGCAATAAGAGTCAATATATCTTGTATTCATTATGTTTGGAAGATATTTCGCGGGGTTATTACTATTCGCAAGGGTTACACATTGCAAAGAGGAATTAAGCTCGATTTTTAAATGCGCCAGAAAAGCTTCTTTAAGCGAAAATAGAATTAATAACTTCCAAAACTCTTCATTCAATATTTTTATTCGAGTAATATTGTATTATTTTAAACAATTTATGGTTAAACAAAGCTTTTCTGATTGTCCTAAGCCTAGCAAAGCATGAAGGGAAATCGCCACATAATAAGTCATTGCAAACTCTCAGATATTTAGTTTATATATATAATTACTGTATATCCGTTATTGGTTAGCAAACCGCTACATATATGCAATATTGATATCAGCCGTAGCTGCATAAACCGAATAACCGTTTTTTCTGATAAAACCATACAATTAGCATATCGATATGTGATATCGGTTTTCATATCCGATATGAAAACTTCATAACGGTTACATATCGGCTATCATGAAATATTGAAAACGCCCATGTCTAGCGGACAATCATGAGTGCCTTCCATACTATCGTAACATAAGATTCTCGACATCGATATGCTTTTCAGTTTTTTATCGATATTCAATCCCTAGTATGTTTAGATAACGAAATATACTGTTAAATTGTTAAAAATAATGATTTACTTACAATAGCATAGCACCAACAACATTTGTAAATTTATTTCTAAATTAAAATTGCAAGTTGCGTATGTACAAAAATTTTTAATATAATAGAATAATGTGATAAGTACATTATTCTATTATAACAATAATAATACGACGAACTACAGCTACCCATTCCGCTGCCGTGAAAGGAAAGTTAAAAAAAAATATCCACTGCTCTTACATCTGCTGTGTAGATCTGTAAATAATAAATTATTTTAAAATAAACCATCACTAATTAGATTATAAATATATAAAAGTTTATTATGAACGCTGTTTTTAAAGTCAAAGACAGTCAAAACTAAAAAAATTATTTCTAGTAAAATATTTTGAGTTTTTCCAGATTCCGTAACAAACCTTTACATTAAAAATTATATCTTTCCTGGTCAGGCAAAAACATTTTTAATAGTAAAACATTATTGTTGCTTCAGTATGTATTAATTTGTTGATCCTGAGTATCTATATCACACCTGCAATAAGATAATATGTAAACTTTAATAAACTGACATTTGGATGTTGGACAATATTAATATTAATTATCATGCTATATGTTCAAGTTTATATTACATCTTAAAAGGTTTATATAAATCTTACCCGTTGGTCAAGACTATAACTGACTGGTTAATTGGATTTGTTGGCAGTTGTAAGGATTGTTGCGGTCATGGTACTAATTATAAATTTTAACGTTAGTGTAAACAATAATGTATAATTATAACATTAAAATAATGTATTGTAAAGCAATGGTGATTATTTACAATAACATACTATACGAGAAACCTAGTCATTGCGATGTAGGAAGGAGATCGAGATCCTGAAGTAGAACAACATCGTTCATATTCGCCACAACCTGGCCCATCGTGGCTGGAGGTTTCACATCCCGACTGTCTGCAACCTGCACTAAACCAAGGTCTTGCGCAGCGCCGCTCTGAACGGCACCGCAGGCCCTCAGATAGACTCGAATTCTAAACCCCGTGAGGGGTAATGTTGTATATACTTTATGGATGGTTATGAAGTTATGCTCATTGTCAATTCATATCCATAGTAACGTGATTGTAAATTAACACCATTGCTTTACATAATGATAAAGATGTTATCTCGAGATAATTTATCGATATCGATAAGTCTCTCACACTATTCATTTCTCGCCATTTTATAGTGTAGCGACGTGAAACATATAGAAGTTCCATTGTGTGAATATGATTGTTTACTTTACTATTTCTATTAAACAAAAAAAAAAACCATGCACAAACGACATACTAACAAATCGATATTTCATTTAATTATCGGTAATCTGTTATCGAATTTGTTGTTTATGTCACTATTTACGGTTTGATGACATATGTCAAAAGGGACCTCTAGGTGAAGGCTAAAAAACAAAAAATCAAGGAGTACCTAGTAAATTATATTTACCTAAAGAAAGTAAATAATTATATGCCAATAACTCGGCATGGCAATGTCATATCAGAAAAATACACCTTATATTAAAATCCCCTTTAGTCCCGAGTCTTCCTGTGTAAGTTTCGTCGTATATAATAAAAAGTTTCAACGTTCTTTTAATGTACAGTCTTTATAAGTACATAATTTTTATTTGAATAAATCGGTATATTTCAGACTGAATTCTTTAAGTTTTCAAACTTGAGAGATTTGGCAACAAAATGTGAAATTTCCCAGAATATAATTTCGAGATGTAGAGCTGTTGGTATCTTACAAAGTGTACATGGGAAGTTTTATTTAGTGGAGGTAATTAATACTAAGGCATGAGCAGTTTTTTTATTTGGTAAAATTATTTCATACATAATCCTCCCAATTTTCAGCTTGACAGTGAAGCTCGGAAGTATAGCCCACACGTCCGACTTTCATTTGTTTATTTGAAATCTCCATTGCCATCAACGGTACTATCATATCCAGTACAAGTATTTGGCGTATTGCAGTGGAAAAATAGGCCAGTAATATATGTTAACTTCTTGCAGGTAGCAGCTCTTTAATTATATATTATTTGAGTAATGCAAGATAGGATAGATTATTAGGTAGGAAACATAGTAATTTATAGAGATGTGTCAGAAAGTGTTTTCAACAAATGGCAAAACAATGAAATTCATTGTTTTATGCATAAGACAGGTTTAAAAACGAATATTTATTTGAAGTTTAATTTTATTGCTTTATTCAACACTTCTTCATAGGATCATTAATATAACATAGATCTTACATAAGAAATTTCATATTTTAGTACTATACCATATCAAGAAAGTAGAAATCAAGTATTTCTACTTTATTTATTACAGAATATATATGCCATGAAATAAAAAAAAAGTGAAATAGATGCTGAATACCAATCAAATATGTGGCGTATTTCAAGTAAGACTGGCATCATTAAATTATGATACTTAGGAATAAAAACATTTGCTTTATTTATTGTAGGTATTGAATGTTCCAATTGCCTTGAAAGTACATAGGGCTATGGACAACATTGTCAACATTCACTTAGCAGCAAGTGTGGACGATGAAGAAGAATATAGTTTTTCAGAATGGATCTGAGAATTACTGTTAATCTCTTCAGTACCATTCCTTTATAGTTTGCATGAAAATAAACATCTGGTGGTGGCTTGAAATAAAAAAGTGTGTAATCGATAATTATAATAATTAACATAAATATTTATATATATATTTTTAATTATTATCAATATATAACCATCATAATTGATGTATAAAAGACATGTTTCTAACGTAAAAAATTAATAATAACGTGTTTGAAACTAGCATACTTCTTTCGCGCCATTTTTTCACCCGATCTACACACGATTACATTAATATTTTTTTTGTGAAAATAAACACTTACATTGCTCCTGTTCTTCTTGTTATATAGATATTTTACTGAAAAAAGACATTTATATTTTTATTGGCTTGCAAACCTCTTAAAAGGTTCGCGGGAACAGAGTGTCACATGACCAAATTCTCTTAAGAGTAGATACTATGGACTCCTTAAGGATTGTGAGATAGGCATTATTGAACACACTTTTGAAAAGAATGCATATTTATTAAATCTTAAATAAATAGTATAATAATAACAATATGTGATAAAATTTACAACACTCCATCACCAACCACAGATGTGGACTTTTTTATAAAAATTATATTGGCATTTAAAATTATTTAGACTACAGATGATCACATCTAAAGAAAAATTAGCTTGCAAAGTTGTATGAATATGAATTTTAACATCTATTGTTGATGGCTTATGTAGTATTTCAATTAATTCACACTCATATGATAGGTTTATTGGAATGCTTATCCCCACAATTTATTTGATTAAATCATGCTTCAACATCTCCATAACTCTTGAGAAACACATTTTCTGTATTCATTTAAACAGGGAAGAGCTTAATGTATGTAAATTTATTTATGTACAAGTTTAATTGAAGTAATATGAAAATAAGAGGCATTTGGTGCTGCTCCTAAAATCAGCTGCAAAATATTTGAAATTATAAATGGTTATACATTTTGGCTAGTTTTACTTTTAAAAATAGAGATAGAGACTCATAAATGCACTTATAGAATTGTCAAGTCTGAGAAACAAGGAGTAATAAAATAAAATTCTTATAAGGCAAGTACCATATTGATTTTAGGGGTTATTTTAGATAATATTTCTGCATAAAATATTATAACAGCTCTAACCAACACTAGTGAGTTTCCGTGTACCCCACGAATTTTCTGGAGGCTTTAGCTTCAGCCTAAAGAACCCAGAAGTACAATACAAATACAAGTAATATTACTGCACCAGCCGTCGCCTTCACAAGCATAGATTTAGTATTTAAGTATGTGGCATCTTTCTTGTACTTCTGTGACATCATGGACAGGTTCTGCGTCTTTGTGTCCAGTTCTGGATGAAAGAATAATTTTTTTTAACACATTAAAATTCATCAGTTATATAACTTACTTTTACAACTAGTTTCTTGCTGTCAACAATTCTCCTAGACCAAGGCAATTTTTATTACAAAGGATTGATAAAGTCGACCATTGTTAAAAAAAGAGGTTTCTTTAAAGGTTTACATAAAACTTGGATGATTCTAAAAGAGTCTAATGATGGGAGGCGGAGTAAGATGACAATGGTGGAGTGGTTCACCTACAGATTTCTGGTCGGAACAAAAAGTCAAAATAATCTTTATTCAAATAGACTTCTTAAAAGTACTTTTGATTCGTCCAACATTTTTTTCCCTACCACTCGTTCAGGACGTCTTTTGGCTGATAAGAAGAACGAGCAAGAAACTCACCAGCTCTAATAGGAGTAATGACATTTACAAAAATTATGCCATTACCAGATCAATACATTATAAATAAAGAGAGAGAAAAAAAAGAAACTATGGTCTTATAATGATTAATAACATAATCATTTAATAATAATGGAAGCAAGATAATTTTTGATATATAATGAGCAGTGGTCGGAATTAGGTAGAGTTATTCATGTACTTACACTGATTTCATACAGCGAAAGAATAAAGTGGATATGCCTCAAGATTAATTTTAAAGAGCAGAAAAAATCCGTGATTTTTTAAATAAAAAGTTATTTACTTTTACACAATTTAAACTACTGTACGCACGACGTTGCCAAACTTACATCAATGAAAGAAAGAAATAAAGAAATAGATAACTCTACCTAATTCCGACCTCTGATAATGAGTTAATAAGTAATCACCTATCCAGTTGCTGGATCATCTCACGTCCAAGCATTCTTATCTGTTATATAATCGGATACCTTATAGTAAGCTTTTTTAAAAGTATTATTTTAATAGTAGATTTAAACTGCATGATATCTAATTGTTGTATTTTGCTTGGGACCTTATTGTAGAAGCGCACACAAAGACCCCTGAATGAGTTATTAACTTTTTGTAGTTTAATGACAGGCATCGTTAATTTATTTTTATTTCCTGTATTAATATTGTGTACAACACGTCTCTAATAAGGTGAAGATTTATTAAGAGGAACTGTTAATATCCTCTTTCCATTCGACTTTAAAATAACCAAAGCAATTCTACAAAAATCTCTATTCTTATTTAAAAATAAACATTGAAGAGAATTTGTTAACAGAGTTTAACAAAAATGTTTATCTAAATAAACAATGTAGCCAATATAGAAGAAAATTAAACAAATACACTTCCCAACCTTTTGACAAAACTACAACCAAGAAACTTAAGTTTCGACAAGATAAGTACTGAAGATAGACAACTAATAAATGAAAGAAGGATTTTATTCCAAGATAGAAAAAAAAAATATGGTTAATTAAATTGAAACATTAGTAAAGCAATTTCTAAAAGCGTAAGGGAATACAAGAAAACAACAAAACTAGAAACTATAAAACACTACACACGACCAGAAAAACGGATGGAATAAACTGGATGTCTAATTTAAAAAAATAAAGACATGCAAGGCAAATACAATTCCAATTCAATAACGTGTTTGACAACAAAAATAGCGACAAACTATTATTGTAAACTTTCTTCGAACGGCGAAAATATCCATTCAGATATAATATACTACGATCAGAGCAATGAAGATATTCCAAGTATCAATCTATTAGAAGTGAGAACAGCAATTGCCTCTCAAAAAGACGAGAAAGCAACATAAGAAGATAATATCAAGCAAATTACTGAAAATGGACATAATAATACAACCACTTGTGGACCTTTTTAACGAAATAATACAAGAAGTGCAAATACCCTTACAATGGTCATTATCGACAAAATAGTACATTACGTTATGATGGTTATAACATGCGAGGCGGAATTTCAGCCCGAGCCGAAGGCGAGGGCGTAATTGAGCCGAGCATGTTATAACCAATACGCACGTATATCGTACGACGTTTTTTAACACATTTGCGAGGAAACAGAAAAAGAAAAACATTAAATAAACTCAATCTGTGAATGTACACTGTTGCTTTCCCGCCATTTTAACAGCGCGCTAGCGCTGCCCACTGACTGGCGCCGCGGGGCGGTCAGTTCGTAATTTGAATAGCAACAGCACGCGAAATAGCAAATAATACTGTTATGGAATTTAACTTAACTATTTGCTTTGGTAACACATGCGTTTTTTATGACCCGCTTTACATATTTAAAACCGGTGGAATTACATCAGTGTTAAAAATACTATTACACAAAAAAGTGACAAAAACAAGATTGACAACTATAGACTAATAATAAGTATTATGTCTAATATTTATAGTCTTCTCCAAAATTATTCAAGAACGACTCAATAAGTGCCTAGATGAACAACAGCCAAAAGAGTAGGCTGAATACAATAAAAACAATGAATACAGAAAATCACCATATATTGCTTATGTGGATTACAACAATGCCTTTGACTCTTTATACCAACAGTTTATAAAGCTTTGAAGAACTAAGGCTGCAACTTAGTCTTATGATGAATGAATTAAAAACCAAAGCAAAGACCAACCATATTTAAGTTAAGATACAAGTAGGTGGCAGGGAAATCGAATATGTTGATGAATCAAGTTAGTCTGTATGTAATTTTTTTTTATATATATCTATCTTAGCCAAATTATATCTCCAATAGGCCAAAGAGCAAAGAGGTGGAAAGGAGGCAAACAGTTGGTCACGGTACTGGTCACTTGGAGACATTTTCAAAAGTATGACCTACCTATAGAAGTTGAAAGGAAAATTTATAACACAACAATGTTACTTATACTAACATAACTATTTTATCTATACCTATATGTGGATGTCAAACTTAAACCAAACAACAAAAATATGGGAGGATGATCTGCCAAGGGTTGGACGAGAATTTACGATCGGGAGGAATGGCCAACCATGAAGAATGTCAAAGAACAATCTGACCAGTAAAGCACTGCTGCTGATGCAAAATATATATATTTAAAACCAATATATAGGAAGATTGTCAGAGATAAAAAGTTATTTTTACTTATTTTATTAAATTCACATTTTGAATAGCCATTATGTATCTACATCTTCACAACGTATCCTTTGCGGGGTAAGCAAAGAGGACCAACTGCCACAATGTACAGTCCTTACATCTTTCCCGTAATCCACTTTCATTACTCTTTTCATACATACAATGCCGATTTGGGGCAAAAATAATATTTGTCATATTAATCTGAGCCTGCTACTTTAAGGATGGAATGTTAATTTCCCATCATTTTAGTTGCTCTGGGAAATTGCCTGCTGGGTTAACCCTCGGAACAGACCACAATATATCTATTTAGTGTTTTGAATTTGGTAAAAGGAATAAGGACTATTCAATTGTTTAGTTATTCATGTTACCAGCTAAAACAGCGCCACGCTGTAGTACGTCGTCAATGTTCTGCATCATGATGCGCTGCACGTCGCCCAGCTGTCCGCCGAGTTGTGCTGCGGCACCGGCTCGACGCGCGCGAGCCCCCCCCTCCCCATACTGTTTACGTGCTCGCTGCATCCACGTATCAAACTCTATGAATGTATAAGGTCGAGTCACTGTGTTCACCTGGAATCAAAGTATTTATAACTAGCTGTGTTCTTGCCACTTCTCATCTAAATTATGTCACCCATCAGCCTATGTCATCCTCATATGATGCAACTTTCTGTAGGCAGAGATAAAAGAATTTATAAAATCGGTTCAGTAGTTTCGGGACCTATTAGACACAAACAAAAATACAATCAAATCTTTTCTCTGATAATATTAGTATAGATTAGGAGAAAAAATGTACTGCATCTTCTATCTATTTATATATATACTGCATTTTATTCATTGTGTATCACTAAAATAAATCTTATTAGAATTTATCTAATATAAAGAAACTTAAACAAATGCAAGTAGTTTCTTAAATGATCTTAAAGATACATCTCAATTTCACAATAAATGAGCTTGAAAGTTGATTTCAATGTATTTTTTTTTAAGGTTAATTAACACTAACCCTTTTTCCGTATTGTTGATAAAACTCTTGTGCAATTTCTTCTAGGTAGCTAAATGCTAGCCTTTTACTGTAGTTGCGTTCACACAACACTAAATAGCAGATTTCATTTTCAATCAAATAACTGGAAAAAGAAATTGATTAATTTGAATAAATATTAAAAAATTTGATAACATATTACAAAGAAAAAAGGCAATCAAAAGAAAAAAGGCTAAATCAAAAGATAATAACAAGAAATTATGGCAATGCATAAATTGTATGGCAAACATAAAACCTAAGAAAACTCCAAATATAAATTTGTTTAACCTTAAACCTTCTCCTGTGGATTCTGTTAATGCAGTAAATGAGTACTTTGCTAATATTGGTAGTGATTTGGCTAAAAATATCTCGAGGGCTGATTTTGGATGCGAGTACAATGAACATAAATCAGGAACACAATTAAACTCATTCGTATTACTAGAAGCTGATGAAGGTGAGGTAGAAGATATTATAATGAACCTTAAGACAGACGGTGCACCTGGATGGGACAATATACCCACCAGATTTTTAAAAATAGCTCATACACAAATCGTACCTGTCATAACCCGTCTGGCTAATTTATGCTTCCAAACTGGTATTTTCCCAATGGTCCTTAAGGAGGCTATAGTAACACCAGTGCATAAGAGTGGAAGTGCAGATTGCGTCAGCAACTATCGCCCTATATCAGTCCTGACATCCATCACAAAGATTATGGAAAAGCTCATTAACACTAGACTTAAAAACTACTTAGATGGGACACAAATTCTTTCTGATTCACAATATGGCTTTAGACGCGGTCGATCTACTGAAGACGCTGTTACTGAGTTGACTTCTTTAATAGTTCAACATGTTGACAATCATCAAAAAAGTCTAGGAGTGTTTCTTGACATAAAAAAAGCCTTTGATGTGGTTTCTGTTCCGATCCTTTTACAAAGACTGGAAGCATATGGGATTCGTGGTATTCCACTTGCATTATTAACTAGCTACCTAGAAAACAGAAAGCAGCGAGTTAAGCTGGGTGATCACATAAGTGATCAAGCTGTAATATCATATGGTGTACCTCAAGGGAGCGTACTCGGTCCAACGCTATTTTTGATATATATAAATGAGTTATGTAATCTTAAATTACATAATGCAAAGATATTCTCATATGCGGATGACACAGCCATAATATTTAGAGGGAATTCATGGAACGAAGTCAAAAAAATCACTCAGGAGGGATTGTGTAAAGTGACACGCTGGCTCAATGCGTATCTTCTCACTCTAAATATTGATAAAACAAAGTATTTGTGTTTTACTATTGATAAGAGAACGCAACCTAAAGAAGACTTTCAAATAAGAATGCATGAGTGCGGAAATGCAAGTAACTTAACCTGTCCCTGCAAATTTATCGAAAAAGTTTCATTTATCAAATATCTAGGTGTTGTAATAGATGAACGCCTATCGTGGCACTTACATATAGACATGATCATGGGCCGGTTAAGGAAACTTATATGGGTATTTAAAAAATTGAGACATATAGCTTCTAAGGCCTTACTGAGCAAAATTTATATCGCATTAGCCCAATCCATAATTTGCTACTGTATTCCTGTTTGGGGAGGAGCTGGTAAAGTCAAATTTTTGGAATTGGAAAGAACACAAAGATGCCTGCTCAAGGTCATGTATTTTTTACCTTACAGATTTTCTTCTGATGAACTTTATAACCTTAGTAGTGTACTGTCTGTAAGAAAATTATATATTCTAAATTCTACACTTAAATTGCATAAGTCACTGTCATATGACCCCACTATTTTAAATAAAAGAAGAAAGTACAAAGTTATCCCGACCTTAATTACTCACACTGCTTTTGCTGCTATACAATACGACAATCAGGTTAACATTTTATATAATAACCTGAATAAAAAATTGGATATATACCCTATGAATCATTATCGCTGTAAAGAAACCCTAATCGATTGGCTAAAGACACTCAATTATACAGAGACAGAAAGACTAATAAAATCTATTCGATAATGCTTTAGATTGGAGTATGTATTAACAACCTTGAATTAACACATTTTTCCTCACATACACTCACACACACATACAGTTACTCTCACTCACACATACATACACATATATACATACACACTGACAAATGCACAAGCACTTAGTAAGATGGGCATTGAATAATAATGTTAGTATTGTTTTCCTTATTGAATCGGTAATGCTATTGTCTCTTTCTTTTCATTATTTATCATAAAATTTATAAGTATACTTCTATATAACGACTGGAAGAGCGGTGGCCTCCTGATACAGGTATTATATGTACTTAAAAGGAGGCACACCATGATGTTCGTTATTGTAAATTGTGGAGAGATAATAAAGTATTATTATTATTATTATTATTATTATTATTATAATATAAAAATACAAGATCACTACTAAATGATATAGAAAGAGGATTAAATAAAAAAAAACAAGCAATCAAACTCACTGGAAAAGATAAGGGCCTGTTTCGATGGAACAGCGCAGCGGTGACTGTGGGCCTAGTTTCCTAAACAGCATTTTTGCCTGGTTCTGGTACTCCAGAACATTGCAGCCGCTCTGTGAATCACCACAGCAAATTAAATAGAAGGGGACAGGTGAAATTAAATATGAATAGGTGTAACCTAACGTAGTGCTTTTAACAAAAAATCATATTTTGAGGTAGGAAAAAAAATTTTTAAATTCAGGCAGGAATTTTAAAGTACATGACACAACTTAGTATGATATGTTACCTGTTCATCTTCCTGCATAGTTGCGGCTAAAGGGAGTCCGTCCACCACTCTTGCAATCATTGTCATAAGAACCATTTTTAATTATTATACTACACTTTACATTAACAAACTAATATCTGTGTTACAGAAAAGGACTTTAGAGGAACCAATTACTTTTTCCTTGTCATTATTTGCGAATCAGAAAATAAATTGAAAAATCTTTTCATACACGTCAAAGCAATCGACATGACAACAACACGTCACAGCTGTCACTGTCAGAAAAACAGATTGTTTACGGTTGTCTATGCTAGATATCAGTTACTTTATGTATGGTAGTAGAAGCTCTCCAGCAGAAGCTCTACATTTTTAGATCAACCTGCATATTTTTTCTTATTACAAAAAGTAGACTCTTATTTAATAAAATAAGGGTGTTTCATGTAATATTTTATACAACATTTTTAATGGCCTCTTCTGAAAAATGTGCTTATTTCAAAACACAATTGGAGGCGGTGGCAACAGGTCTGCTATGTAAAGATGCCAGGACATTAAATTAAATTGAGTATTGAAAATTAATAAATGGGTATGACATCATTTCGTGTTTCTTATAATACCTGACTGAAATGAAATGAAATGAAAATATCTTTATTCAAGTAGGCTATTACGAACACTTTTGAATCGTCCAAAAATTTTTTTTTCCCCTACCACTTGTTCAGGAAGTCAAGAAGAACAACCGAAAGAAACTTACCAGCTTTTTATCATAAACATTTACATAAATCATGTCATTACCAAAATAATATGTATTATCACAATAATAAATACAACTTTCAAAGTCTGTAGGACATAAGTTGAACATATAATTAGTCTTTATAGAACAAAGCGAAGGCTATCAATTCCATGCATTGCTATCCTTAAAATAATCATCAACTTTATAATAGCCTTTACTCATAAGTATATTCTTTACATGAATTTGAAATTTATTTATGGGTAGGTCAATTACATTTTGTGGAACTTTATTGAACATAGCAATACATTTACCCAGAAATAGATAGATAGATAGATAGATAACACTTTATTGCAAACACCAAATACAAAACATACAAAGAAAAAAAAAAGAACAATATTAAGCTGTGTCACAATCGGCGGTCTTATCACTAAACAGCGATCTCTTCCAGACAACCTTTGGATGGAGAGATGAACTATCTTAAAAGTACGGGGGTGTATGATAATCTTATGATTACAATAGATATTAAGTAATCATACATTAAACAAACATAACTTAATATAAGCGTATACATACTACACAAATATATATAGATACTATCCAAATAAATATAGCAAACAAAACTATAGTCTGTCAATAAAAAGAAAAATAAATAAATAAATAAATAAAATAAAGCAGTTAATTCAATAAAATAACTAATGTGATAGGTAAAATTCCTTTACGCGCATTTTAAAAGAGTCAAATGATTGCGAGAGTCTTATCTTTACTGGTAGAGTGTTCCAGAGACGCACAGCCCGAACAGTAAAAGAAGCATCGTAAAAGTTAGTGCTGTGTGGTGACATTTCAAGTAACAGATTTTCTGATGACCGTAACGAGTATGAATTGGAGTTCTGAAGAAAACTGAAGCGTTCTTTGAGATAACGAGGGTAGGAAGGATTGAACAATATATTGTATAGAAGATATAGGATACGAGCATTCCGGCGAAGACGAATAGGAAGCCACTTGAGTTCAGTGCGATAATGAGAGACATGGTCATACTTGCGAAGGCCAAATATGAACCTTATGCAGAAGTTTTGAAGGCGCTCAAGTTTATTTAGCTGGTCCTCCGTAATATTTAGAAAGCAGGCGTCAGCATAGTCAAGAACAGGAAGTAAAAGAGACTGTGCAAGCACAACTTTAGTGGCAGTAGGCATGAAATTACGTAATCTCCTCAAAGAAGCCCCAGAAGCATACAACTTCCGACTAATCGATTGAAGCTGTGGTGCCCAACTGAGTGTGTCATCAATTATTACTCCCAAATTCCTTACTGTTGCACTAAATGGTATAACGATTCCATCAAAGGTTATTTTAGGAAGTGTTTGAAAGTCAACCTTAGCTAACAACCTGGAGCTACCCACTATCATAACCTGAGTTTTTAACGGGTTAACTTTCAGTCCAAATGATTCAGTCCATTTATTGATGCGGCACAAGTTAACATTCGTTGACGATATCGCTTCAGCTAGCTGTGAAAGTGGAGCCTGACAATAAATCTGAAGGTCGTCTGCATATAGGTGGTAGGAACATGAAAGATTATGAGAAATAGCATTTATAAAGGTTGCAAAAAGTAGCGGAGATAACACGCCGCCCTGCGGAACGCCAGCCGTCGTGTTGCACCATGACGAATGCTTCTCGTCAACACGAACACGCTGCCTACGTCCATATAGATAACTATGAAACCAATCAATTACCGTTGGAGATATGTTAAGTGAGCGCATAACGGCAAGGAGTAACTCAAAGTCGACTGTGTTAAACGCATTACTGAAGTCTAAAAGTGTTAGAACAGTTAACTGACCATTTTCCATTCCAAAGCGAATGTCATCGGTAACCTTTACCAACGCAGTGACAGTGCTGTGGCCAGTACGAAAACCTGATTGGAGAGGATTCAGAAGATCGTGGCGAGTAAGGAATATATTTATTTGGTTATAAATAAGACGTTCCAACACTTTGGATAAAAAAGGGAGAATGGATATAGGACGAAATTCGCTAAAGGTTTTGGGATTACGTACTTTAGGTAAAGGGATAATATGAGCGTCTTTCCATGCAGAAGGAAAAGTTGAATTAGAAATAGAACTATTGAACAGGAAGGTAAGGATGGGAAGGATAATATCAAGGATGGGTATCAACATATTTCGACTAATGCCATCACTACCTACAGCATTTGAGGTGCTCGATAGAAAGCTCTTCTTAACATCACAAACCGATAATTGATCAAAGACAAATGGAGAGAAGCTGGGGATCGGCAAACAAGAAAGATGACTTATGGTTCTAGATTTAATGGCAACATGAAAATGATCCTCTGGTTTTTTGAAGTCTGAAGCTTGGAACGGCAAGTTTATTTTTATTTCTTGTATTAAGATTATGAACACTACTTTTTTTTGTGAAGGAATCGTAATGTTTTCTTGTGTACATAATATTCTCATAGATGTATTGAGAGGCAACAGTCAGAATATTTATTTCTTTAAATATTTCTCTGAGAGATTCCCTAGACCGTAAATTATATATAGCACGGACAGCTCTCTTTTGTAGAATAAAAATATCCTGAATGCTAGCCGCAGAATCCCACAACAATATACCATACGTCATTACACTATGAAAATAACTAAAATATACCAATCTTGCCGTTTCAACATTTGTCAAGAGTCTAATTTTCTTAACAACAAAAGCTGCAGAACCCAGTCTACTTGACAAACTATCAATATGAGGATACCATTGCAGTCGAGAATCTAGTGTAATACCAAGGAACTTTGTCGATTCTACTAACTCAACTTTTTCACTATTTACATTTATAAGTGTACTGACATGCCTCACATTAGGTAATGCAAACTTTATGCATTTCGTTTTATTTGTATTGAGCTTTAAATTATTATTATCAAACCACTGTAGAACATTGTCGAGAGCATTATTTACATCGTAAAAACAATCATTACCCCTCTCAACTTTAAACAGAGGAAAGAGGTGTCATCTGCAAATAATACTGTCTCGCACAAATTCTTCGTAAAGTGAGGAAGATCATTAATATAAATTAGAAAAAGCAATGGTCCTAATACCGATCCCTGAGGTACGCCCATAGTAACTGGTGCTCCTGCAGATTTCGCTTCATTAATTACTACTTTTTGAATTCTAGCAGAAAGATATGATTTTATTAGATTAAGTGAATTTTTCGTCACACCATAATGCTCTAATTTCCCCAACAGTGTTTCATGACTAACGCAGTCGAATGCTTTTGATAGATCGCAAAAAATGCCAATAGCATCTTGTTTATTCTCCCAAGCAAATCCAGCGTCTGTGGTACATTTACCTCTGCTAAAGCCAAACTGATTTTGGTGAAGTAATTTATTTAATGAAAAGTGTGCAAGCAGTTGATTGTAAATAATTTTCTCAAATACTTTACTGAACGCTGGTAGTATAGAAATTGGTCTGAAATTACTGGGATCAGACTTGTCGCCTGCCTTGAAAAGTGGGATTATTTTACCATATTTCATTAAATCAGGAAAAGTTCCGTCATCAATGCACTTATTAAAAATAAAAGTTAATTGAGGCGCTATAGATAGTATTATAGATTTGATAACATAAGTTGAAACGCCCCAAAGATCTTCCGTTTTTTTGACATTAATAGAATTAAATGTTTTCATTTAATTGAGCAAACGTTAAAATGTCTAAAATAAAATTCAGTGTTGCACTTATCAACAACTGACTCTAGATGCGTAACCGCAAGTTTAGAACATGAACTAAGATTTCTAGTGATTTCTATTGGTGTCTTAGAAAATAATTTCTCAAATGTATCGGCAACCGCTTCATCTGTTTTAATAATTTTATTGTCAACCTCTAATGAGTATGTGCGCATATTACTTTTATTTTTACCCGTTTCTTGATTTATAATAGTCCAGGTTGTTTTTATTTTATTTTCTGAATTGTAAATTTTTTCAGATATATATTTTGGTTTTGCTAAAACACATACTTTCCTAAAAATTTTCGAATAATTTCTGACATATTCAATAAACTTTGGATCGGTCGAGGTACACTTTAGCTCATACAAATCATACGGCCTATTTCGACTTTTGTAGATGCCAGGTGTAGCCCAATCACTAAATTTCTTGTTTTGGTTAGCAAAGTTAATTGTTTTGAGTTTAAATGTTTTATCAAATTCTCCCTTTATCAAGTTAAAGAAATTGTTATAAACATCATTTATATTTTCCAAATTACTAGTTGACAACTGAGTCTGATTTGCAGAAAAACTGTTATTAAATTTTTCTAAATTTTGGTATTAGGTCTACAAATTCTTGTCGGATAAGGTTATCGAGTGCGAAGATCGTATTGTTATGATGAACGAGCGGATTAACAGCCTGGAAAACCGCGTTAGTAAGGTGCAAACTGACACCTCACTCGCAGCATTCGTCGAACAACTGAAAGCGGAATTGAATGACCGTGACCAAGATTTATTATTGAACGACGTTGAAATTTCCTGTATACACGAACAAAAGGGAGAGGGGC